AAGGCTCTAGGCCAGGGCTGTTGAATCCCAGGCCTGGAGCGCCGGTATCCAGCACGTTTTAGTTTGAATTCTGCTTCAGCACAGCTGATTTCAGTCAGCAGGTGATTAACAGGCTTCTGCAGAGCCTGATGAGCTGCTGCAGGTGATTCAACCACTGAATCAAGAGTGTTGGAGCAGAGAAACGACTAAAACATGCTGGATACTGGCCCTCCAGACCTGGAATTGAATAACCCTGCTCTAGAATCTTCTCAGCTGTAAACGCCGACACCATCAGGTCATGAATGGGATTACAACACTCCTGCTTTTAGTCTACATTCATATGCGTCACAAGGTTCCCATAGGTCCCCGAGGAACTCAACGTTTGAATTAAATCTAAAGTTTCTTGTATTTTTTATTATTTATCTTTAACTTGGAATGATTTCCCAAACAGGGAACGCAGCAAGGAGAGAGTTGGAGTCATTCTATAAAAAGACTTGAGCTTCCTTTTCCATTGAAATATAGATTTTGACCTCTTTCTCACAGCATAGTCACACAGAGAATCAATTATTTTGCAGGCAGCATGAAGCCCAGGACTTATTATGCGCTGCAGCAGCTCTGAATACAAACAAGCGGGAGTTTCATTAGGACAGACACGTGGAGGCTGTGGTTGTTGGTGGAGGTTTGTAAAAACCCTCGTGGAGTCGGTCTGCAGTCAGTCGGAGCAGAATTCAAATGGTTTCCTCTCACAAACCAACAGGATGTGTAATTGTTGCTGAAACAGTCCACTGATCTGCTCTAATTTCTGCAGTCGGCTGCTGGAGAAATAAATGAAAGAGATGGACGAGGGAACAGAGCTCTGCAGGTTCCTGTCCCGGAGTCTCCGAGGAGGTGGTCTCATTCTGGGTCTGAAGATGAACCCAGATGACGGATTACTCATCAGGAAGGTGGTGATGACAAGCTGGACCATCATCAGATGCTGATCAACCTGATGTATTTGTAGACAGACACGTTTCCATGGAGACGACCAATGTCTTCTGTGTGTCCTCTGAATTTTGGACAACTTCCCTCTACGATGTCTCTTGTGAGGTCAGCTTCATGCGGAGACATTTGTCTTTGTTATGTGTATTAGTTTTAACTTAAACCTCAGGAAAAAAACATTCTTAAACCTCAGGAGGAAACATCATTACACCTCAGGAGGAAACATCCTTAAACCTCAGGAGGAAACATCCTTAAACCTCAGGAGGAAACATCTTTACACCTCAGGAGGAAACATCTTTACACCACAGGAGGAAACATCCTTAAATCTCAGGAGGAAACATCCTTACACCTCAGGAGGAAACATCCTTACACCTCAGGAGGAAACATCCTTACACCTCAGGAGGAAACATCCTTACACCTCAGGAGGAAACATCCTTACACCTCAGGAGGAAACATCCTTACACCTCAGGAGGAAACATCCTTACACCTCAGGAGGAAACATCCTTAAACCTCAGGAGGAAACATCCTTAAACCTCAGGAGGAAACATCTTTAAGTTTCTGGAGAAAACGTCCTTGCACCTCAGGAGGAAATGTCCTTACACCTCAGGAGGAAACATCCTTAAACCTCAGGAGGAATCATCCTTACACCTCAGGAGGAAACATCCTTACACCTCAGGAGGAAACATCCTTAAACCTCAGGAGGAAACATCCTTAAACCTCAGGAGGAAACATCCTTAAACCTCAGGAGGAAACATCTTTAAGTTTCTGGAGAAAACGTCCTTACACCTCAGGAGGAAACATCCATACACCTCAGGAGGAAACATCCTTAAACCTCAGGAGGAAACATCCTTAAACCTCAGGAGGAAACATCTTTAAGTTTCTGGAGAAAACGTCCTTACACCTCAGGAGGAAACATCCTTACACCTCAGGAGGAAACATCCTTAAACCTCAGGAGGAAACATCCTTAAACCTCAGGAGGAAACATCCTTAAACCTCAGGAGGAAACATCCTTAAACCTCAGGAGGAAACATCTTTAAGTTTCTGGAGAAAACGTCCTTACACCTCAGGAGGAAACATCCTTACACCTCAGGAGGAAACATCCTTAAACCTCAGGAGGAAACATCCTTAAACCTCAGGAGGAAACATCTTTAAGTTTCTGGAGAAAACGTCCTTACACCTCAGGAGGAAATGTCCTTACACCTCAGGAGGAAACATCCTTAAACCTCAGGAGGAAACATCCTTACACCTCAGGAGGAAACATCCTTACACCTCAGGAGGAAACATCCTTACACCTCAGGAGGAAACATCCTTACACCTCAGGAGGAAACATCCTTAAACCTCAGGAGGAAACATCTTTAAGTTTCTGGAGAAAACGTCCTTACACCTCAGGAGGAAACATCCATACACCTCAGGAGGAAACATCCTTAAACCTCAGGAGGAAACATCCTTAAACCTCAGGAGGAAACATCCATACACCTCAGGAGGAGAAAACTAAATTGGAGTCTGAGGAGGGTAAAGGGTAAACCACGTTAAAAAGAAAAAACAAAACCAATCAGGTAGATGAAACCCTGACTCAGGACCGGCGGGGGACACTTTGCTGCCATGTCTGAGTCTTTGGGTCTGTACAGAGGTGACCCTCTGAGCTCTGACGCATGTCGCCATCAGACGAGTCGATGATGGTGACTTTGGCTGGTGTGTCTCTGATCATAACAGCTGAAGCTTGTGAAGGACAGAACCTCTGGCACCAGTAGAACCAGTCGCCATTAGACTCCTCCCACTGCTCAGAGGCACAGCTTCCATTCTCCTTGTTTCAGACTCAGCCCTGCTCCTGCTGTGCATCCCGACTGCAGACACCAGCAGGTTTTGTTGCATCACTGCAGGGTCCAGGTGGAAATGTTGGACCACCCAGCGAGCCAATCAGAAGCAGGAGGAGATGGTTTCTGTGTTATTGTGATAAAAGTGGTCTTTAGGGAACGTCTTCCACCTTCATTTGTCCTCCAACTCAGGGTCAGGGTACGTTTTAACTTCTGGTCCACCAAATAGCATCAAAGATCTAAACATCTTCATTTTAGTTTCATAAAAATGGTTAAAAAGCTGAAAGAGTCTAAATGAAACACATTTAAGTCAGATTCTCTGTGTCATTCCGACCTTTACTCAGTTAAACATCAGTGATTCTTCTGAATAAGGCCCAGTCCACATTAGTCCACATTAGTCCCTCTCCAGACCTCCTTCTGCTCCTCCTGGGACATCCTGAGATCAGCTGAGATCCTGGATCTGTATTCCAGTCCTGATCCAGATCTCCTGATCCTGGGCCAGCGTTTGGAGGGAAACTAGAGCTTTGTTTTAGTTCCGTCTCTCCTCCTCCCTCCTGTAACCCAGATGACATGGACCTGATCTACACGTAACCATCATGTTTCTGTGTTTTAGGATGGTCCTGCTGCTCTAACGGATCCCATCCTGGATCTGGAACAACGTTTGTGTTCAACCCGTTCAAACTAAAACGTCTCCACTTTCCTTCTTTTATGGGTTTGTTTGTCGGATCCAGAATAAAAATCCCAAAATGAACTGGAAATTAAATCCAGCTCCTAGGAAGATCCGACTCCCCAAAGTGGGTCTCTGGCTTTTGGCCCAGGCTTTGGATTCCAGAACTCGACCCAACATGAGACCCTCAGAACCAGAGTGATGGACACCAAACAGACGAGTTTCAGTGAAACAATCTGAGCTTCGGCCGAGTTTTAGAAGATTTAGAAAGTTTATGATGGTTTGGGTCAAAACTTTTACAGAACCGTGTCACCAGCAGGTGAAATGGGTCCAGCGTCTCGTACCTGGGAAGATTCAACACCAGGTGCATTGTAGGACAGAGGCGAGCCAGCTGGGCTGCTTCAGAGTTCTGCTGGAATCAGAGAACCAGGAAGCAGAACCAGGATGGAACTAAATCACCAGAGTGACATAAAGAGCTGCAACACCTCCAGGTGTTCTTATCGCTCTCAGTGAGAAAACAATAAAGTTATTTTTCAACCCGACAGGAAGTGGAGCTGGTACCAGAGAGGTTCTGGAGATGGTGCTGGATTAAGCAGCTCAGAGTAAAAGACTTTTAATCCACCCAGTTCCTGAGATCATTGTGATTCCTGCAACTCGTTAAACATCAGGAGAACATCTGGAGCGGGTCTGGAGACGCATCAGCTGACATTGATCAGCGCTTTGATTGGATTATTGATTCGGACTGGCCTAGATTTGGGATGATAGAGTCGCACCGACGAGAAATGCTTCAGGGCCTCGTTACGTCGGCGATGATGATGAAGGGTTTCATCCCTCCTCTTCCTCAGATCACCGGTCTGGAGATGATCTGGTTCTGATCCGAATCCTGATCCTGGCTTCAAACATCTTGTAAACAATGACAGATACAAATAATAACAACAACAACAACAATAATAATAGTTGTGGAGAATAAACAGAAATGTAATTGTTTTTATTTGGTTAAATGAGTGAAATTATTTATTTGTTTGCTAAATTTAAATTTTTAAATTTGATCAAAAAGGTTTTTAATCTCCAACATGAAGCAGCTTTCCTTGTTTTTAGTTTGTTTTCTCTCTCTCTCTCTCTCTCTCTCTCTCTCTCACACACACACACACACACACACACACACACACACACACACACACACACACACACACGTTTGAAGTCCAGTAGTGGGGGTGTCAGTCACCTCATGAAGTATTCATGGTGCGTGTCGAGTGTGTGGACGAGTTGTGAGAGAGTGGGGTTGTTAAAGAGGGAGGGAGGGAAGGTGAGAGACACAGACGGACGTAGAGGAGGAGGAGGAGGAGGAGGAGGAGGAGGAGGAGGAGGAGGAGGAGGGCTGGAGCTTCATCTGTTTCCCAGCAACAACGGCAACGTGAACCCGCTTCATTTCTACCTCTTGTTTCAGTCGTTCCTCCTGCTGCTGCTGCTTTCTTTCATCCCTCTCTCTCTCTCGGAGTGAGGGAGGAGAGGGGGGAGAGGGGGGAGGAGGGGGCGGGCGGGTAAAGCAGCATTGCGATGCA